TTTTGTACTATAACAACTGATTGCTTAGTAGGTCACTTTTGGTATCATTTGACACCTAATGGCAAATGACGCACAGCTCAACTGTATCTGCGGCAGCATGTACTTGTAAAAATGAAATTTTACACTTGATAGCAGTGAAACATCAATCAATGATCTGAATATAAATTTTAAGAAGCTTATGCCAGTTTTATAACAATATTAAATAATTAGGTATGTTTCAAAAAAAAGGCTAATTCAAGAACAAAGGAAATCTAAAACACACCAAGAATTATGTCTTCAGCAGTATTTCTATTTGAGAAAATTATTCAGCACACTAGAATCTGATTGGCAAGAAGAAAAATGAACAAGAAATACTGTTTTGTAACACTTTATTGATAACCTTTTGAACAACACAAACTATTTCTAATGAGTGAAAATTACCACAGAATTTTTTTATTTGAAAGAAGATCAAGGGCCCTAAGGGAACTAATTAAGAAATAAACAATATCTAAGCCTAGGTAATTTCCATCCATAGCTGAAAAATAAAAAAATATATAAACACTTAGGTACTTCCAAAATACCATTAACAGCTGAACTAACATAGAAAGAAGACAAAGGAATCACCCAACAAGTAGGTTAGTACAAAAACAAGAATGGTTAAAGACAGATTCTGAAGCCATTGCCTGATTTGAATTCTGGCTCTGCCAGAAACTAGCTGTTCAATCCTACTCACATTAATTTATCTATGCCACTTTGTTCTAATATGCAAAATACACAAGGCAGAATCAACCTCAAAATATTATTTGAGATCATAAAATGGGTTGCTATTTATAAAGCACTGATAACTTAGAAATAGAGCCCAAATGGTACAAATAGTTGAGTGCCTGACTACAAATCAAAAGTCTGGTAGTTCAAATCCACTTAGTGACTCCAAAAAGAAAGGTCCAGTAATGTATAAAGATCACATAATAAAATTATAATATTTATTATAATAGATAAAGATCAAAGTCAAGACATTTGAACAGGGAACTTTTCCTCTATTACGTGGGTTCATTGTGAGGAATAATCAACATCAAATGACAATCAACATCATCATACACAGCACTGGGGGGAAAATGCTAACAATATTTTCAGTAACACTGAAGATCAGCTTTTCCTATATTTCATAACTTTTCTTAAGAATGTCTGACTTTTCTCAGGTATTTCTACTTTTTTTCTATTGGAAGCCCTAAAACCAATTTATGTGTAAAATCAGATATTCGGAAACCAGTATTATCAGGAACCAAAGACACACTATGTTTAAAATTATCTCCTCTACATTATGTCCAGATTACACTTGGTTGTTGTTATTATGTCCAGAATTATATATCCCGGTTGTTGTTAAGTGCCATCTAGTCAAATACAACATGACCTCATGAACAACAAATCTGAACTCTATCCTATCCTGTGCCACTTTCATCAGCTCTGACACATTTGAGTATACTGCCATAGACAGTGCATCAATCTCATCAGAGGTCTTCTTCTCCTAACCCTCTACTTTTCTAAAGATGAAGTCCTTTTCCAATGAATATCCTCTTCAAAAACATGCTGAAAATATGTAAAGTTTCATCAACTCAGCCTCCAAGAACATTATGGTTGCACTTTCTCAAACATATATCTGCTTATTCTTTCAACAGTCCATAGGATAGTCAGAACTCTCCTCTAATATCACAGCTCAAAGGGATCAATTCTTCTGCTATCCTTAATACACTGTCCAGCTCTTAAATGCACAGCAAGTGATTGGAAGGATCATGGCTTGAAGATTACACACTTTAGTCCTCAAAGTGAAATCATTACTTCTTAATAATTTGGGGGTACTGCAGACTTTTATAAAGTGTAATATATCTTCTGATTTTCTGAATGCTGGTACCAAGGGTGTTGATTGTGGATCCAAGGAAGATGAAATCAATGACAACTTCAACCATTTCTCTATCATGATGTTGCCTATTGTTTCAGTGGTAAGAAATTTTGTCTTCTAGACACTGAGATGTAATCCATACTGAAGGCTGTATTCTTTAATTTTCCACATCAAGTGCTTCAAGTCTTCCTCACTTTAAGCAAGCAAGGTCTTGTCATCTGCAAAATGCAGTCTATTGATGAGTCTTACTCTAATATTGATACTGATTCTTCTTCAGAGTCCAACTTCTCAAATACTTTGCTCAGAATAAAGACTGAATAGAAGTGGAGAAAGGACACAACTCTGACACACTGCTTTCTTAATTTTACACCATGGAGTATACCCTTATTCTGTTCACATAGCAGACTCTTGGTCTAAATACAGGTTTTTCAAGAGCAAAATTAACTGTTCTGAAATTCCCATTCTTCTCAATGTTACCCATAATCTGTTATGATCCATACAGTCAAATGCCTTTGCATACTCAAGAAAGCTTAAGTAGACATCCTTCTGGTATTCTTTACTTTTAGCCATGATCACTGTTGATATCAGCAATAATATCCCTGGTGCTAAGATCTCTCATAAATCCTGCTTGAACTTCTGGCAGTTCATTATCACATACTGTTTTAAGCATTTTTAAATGATCTTCAGTAGTATTTTGCTTGCATGTGATAGTAATGATATTGTTAGGTAATTCCCACACTCTATTGATTCACCTTTCTTGGGAATGGGAACAAATATGGATCTCTTTCAGTCAGTGGGCCAGAGAGCTAGCTGTCTTCCAAATTCCCTGCCATGGACTGGTGAGCAAGTTTACAGCAGATGAAAAAAAAATATTAAAGATGTCAAGGATTTCATTTTGCTTGGATCCAAAATCAACACCCACAGTGGTAGTGGTGGTGGTGGTGGTTGTTCTGCGCCATCGAGTTTACCACAACCCTGTGCACAAGAGCTCTGAACAATGCTATATCCTGAGCCAGTTTCACTGTCTCTTAACATACCTACCCCAGTTACTGTGTCAACTCATCTCATCCAGGGTCTTCCTCTCCTGTGCTGTCCCTCTACCCTTCCAAGCATAATGTCCACTCCAAGGACTGGTTCCTCCTGACAACATGCCCAAAGTATATGAGATAGAGCCTTGGCTTTACCCTCTCCATGAAAGACCTCTTAGTTCTCTTGGCAGTCCATGATATGTTCAATACTCTTCTCTAGCAACACAACTCAAAGGTATCAAGTCTTCTTCTGTCCTCTTTGGTCACTGTCCAGCTCTCTCATGCAAAAGGTAACTGTAAAGACCATACATAGCCTGGATCAGGCACACCTTAGTCTCCAGACAGACATTGTTGCTCTTTAACACTCTTGGAGAGGTTGACAGCAGATTTTTCTAATACAATTTGTCTTTTGATTTCCTGACTTCTATTCCCAAGAATTTTGATTGTGGAACCAAGCAAGCTGAAATTGTTATCAATCTCAATCTCTTCTTTATCTATCATGATCTAACACTATACAAAGTAAAATCTTTCAAAGACCATCCAAAAACAACTGGAACAGTATATTCACAGAAAACTACCATAAATACAAGCTGGATTTAGAAGAGGCCATAGCACTAGAGATATCACTGTAAACACCAGATGCATCTTGGCTAAAGCAGAGAGTGTCTATCTATGTTTCACTGACTATGTAAAAGCATAGAGTGTGGATCACAACAAGTTGTGGCTAACCTTGATAAGAATGGGAATCTCAGAACACCAGATTGTACTCATGCGAAATCTATACTTGGACCAGAAGGCAGTCTTCAGAACAGAGCAAGGAAACACTGCATGGTTCAAAATAAGGAAGGGAGTGCATCAGGGATGCATCCTATCTCCAAACTCTTTCAATCTATATGCAGAACAGATCATCTGGGAGGCTGGACTTAGAAGGAATGTGGCATATAGATTGGAGGAAGACTTATCAACAATCTGTATTAATCCAGATGATACAATCTTGCTTGCTGAAACTAAAGAGGTTGTGAAGCATTTGCTACAGAGGGTCAAGGACTGTTAATATGCAATATGGATAGAAATTTAGTACCAAGAAAATGGAAATTCTTATCATTGCATCAAATGGCAGCATCATGAGAGATAAGAATCCAAACTTTATGCTGTATTTGGTAAAGACTGCTTTTAAGGACCTCTTTAAAGAGAGAAAAAGCAAGAATGTCAGTTTAGAGTCTAAGATTCCCTCACTCAAACCATGATCTTTTCTACTGCTTCATATGTATATCAAAGTTAAGACAATGAATAAGGAAAACCAAAAAAGAGTCAATGCCTTTGACCTGTGTGTTGGCACAGAGTACTGAATATATATGCATCATGGATTGTCAAAAGATATCTATCAGAGATTACTTTGAACTGGGGTGGTGGTGAAGAATAGTGAATATACAAATCACGAACTGCTAAAACAAATCTATCTTGGAAGAAGTGCTCCTTAGAGGCAAGATGCTTCATGGAAGCAAAGATGGTTAAGCTTTGGTTCACATACTTTGAGCATGTTTTCAAGAGGCACTTGCATGTACCCTCAAGTTGAAACTGATTCATAGCTGACCCTCTAGCAGGTTTCCAAAAATAGTAAATCACAAAGGGGGAGATTGCCCATTTTTCTCTCACAGAGCAGCTGGTGGATTTGAACTGTCTGCCTTTAGGTGGGCAGCATAACTCCACACCACTAAGCCACCAGAGCTCCCCTAGATACTCATACTGGAAAGAGTAGAGTCCGCAAAACGGAAGACCATCAATGAGAAAGACTGGCACAGTGACTACAACAATGGGTTGAGCACGATGGAGATCCTGAGGATGGTGAGAGTTATGGCAAGGATTAGCTCTGCTGTTCACAGGATCATTCTGAATTGTAGTCAACCTGATAATACCTACCACATAAACACACCCCAAAAATGTAAAGCTAGAATTAGATCTCACTTTTTATGCTACATTCATATAAAATTATAGACATTTTTGTGATATCAAATGATCCAATGACACTTTAACGCTTGCTGCATTTGAAAGTAACTCCAAAGCACAGGATTCGTTTACAACAAAAGGAAATATACCTCAATGTTTTTACTGGCCACATTCTTCACAACAGCAGGAAACAGTTCTGACGCATTCTTCCCTTTCGCAATCATCTGAAATAAAAATAAAAGAACATTGTTAGGCGAGCTCTGGTGGCCTAGTGGCAAAAAGCTGCAACTACAGTCTCAGAGGTACACGGTTCAAATCCACCAGATGCTCTGCTGGAGAAGGAGGAACAATCTCCTCCTGTACCAGTCAGATCTGATTTGATGGCACACACAAAAAATAATGAAGTAAAATAAATTGGGGGGGATAAAAAACATTGTTAGGGCTAGAAATTTTTTTATTTAGTAATCTGAAAACAATATATTCTAGGAAATTCTACACACATGAAATATATACCTGATTGTATACCCAAGTAACAATATATTCTAGGAAATTCTACACACATGAAATATATACCTGATATATAAACAAGGTTTGTAATTAAGCACCTTTGCCATTTTAAAGATGTATCACTTATCCCAACTTTCATTCAGAAAGAACAAAGATCTTCTTGTGCAGCAATATAAGTATGCAAATACATAGACACAGTAAAAAAATCAAATCATCTTAGGCATACACTGAATTGTAGACAACAGTTTTAAAGCTAACAGTGTTATGAACATTTCTCAAAACATGTCTTGTTCTTTCTTTTCTGTCTTAAATCAAGCAGATGCTATTTTTGCAGTAAAGAGAAAAATTATTTTGAACAAATGCATTTTCCCTTTGTTTTCTTTTCAGAAATTCTCCTACTTCTTCAGCCTTTACTTTTTTACTTTATACTGGTTTCCTTACAAAGTTCATATATGCCGTTTTTCATTTCAGTCATTACTTTTCAAAAACTGCCCCAACTAAGTATTCTTGCCCTGTTCTCTAAGGTTCAGTGCATCATCTTTTTCAGTCTATGCTGTATACTCTAAAATTGTTTAAGATTTCCTTTTTTTCCCCACAGGTAACTCTCACTTTTCAAGGGATCAGCTGCCAAACTCTACTCCTAAACTGAATTCTCAGCACTATGTCCACATCTTTTAACTAGTTACCACTTGATGTCTTATCTCAAAGCTTTCATGTCTAAAACCAAACTCCTTTTTCATGGTTAAATTCTTTCCATGCCAGAATTTCCTATTTCTGCAATTTTCTCAGATACCAGAAACAGAATACTACAGTGTCTTTTCACAATCTAAACAGTAACTCTAAAAAAAATGCCATAGAGGTAGTCAGACTCATGGTGGACTATGTATTCCAAAGGAGACCTTGAAGAAGCATAATAACCAGCCTTTCTTCCAAGGCTCCTCTGGGTTGCTCAGGTCTACAGTAAAGAGTCTGCCTATAAGGGACTCACGCCTTAAAAGAAACTGTTGTAATCTGCTTCTGAGGTGCCAATCAAGGACTCACTCCTTAAAAGAAACTGTTGTAACCTGCTTCTGAGTTGATCCCAAATCAGAGCAACCCTATGGGATATTTCTACTCCTTTAGAAAGCTTTCTTTATGGAAGTAAATCACTAGGTCTTTTCTCTTGCAGAAAGACTGTTTGGTTCCAGTTGTCAATCTTATACTTAAACAGCAGGGCCACCAGTGTTCCTAATTAAATAAATGCAGTTCTTATATGCAATCAAAACCAACTCATGATTGGCCCTTCAGTGGTTTTTTTCAGAGCAACCTAACACATCTATCACATGATGTTAGATTTGAACATCATGTTTTTGGGTTAACAATCCAGCTGCTTAATACTAAAGCTCCCTACCAAAAAAAGGTACTTTTCTGTCTTATTTGGTCTACTCCTATCAATCTTTTCTCATTATAATTCTACCACAGATCAATATTATTCCCATGGTGTTGTTATGATGTGCCATCAGGTGGCATCAAACCATAGCTACCCTATGTACAATAGCCCTAAACCCTGCCCTTTCCAGTGCCAATCTTATTGCTGATGACACACCTACTCCACTAAATCAATCCTTCTCATCAAGGGTCTTCCTCTCCTGAACTGTCCCTCCATCCTCTCAAGCATGGCGTCCCTCCTCCCCAAAGTATGTCAGACAAAGCTCAGAATCCTTGCCTTGCAGCCTAGCTTAACCCTCTACAGGACGAACCTGTTTATTCTCTTAGCAGTCCATGGTATATTCAATAATCTTCTACATCAATTTTCCTTCTATCCTCCCTAGTCATTGTCCCGCTTTCTGATGCATAGCAAGTGACTGCAAAGACCATAGCTGGGATCAGGCACACCTTAGCATCCAGATTGACATCATTGCTCTTCAGTACTTTGAAGAGGTCCCTAACAGCAGACTTTCCCAAAGCAATAGGACTTTTAATCTCCTGGCTGCTGGTGCCAAGAGTGTTGACTGTGGATCCAAGCAAACTAAAGCTGTTTATAATCTCAATCTCTTCACCATCCATACTGATGTTACCAATCGTCCAGTGGTGAAAATCATTGTTAAATTATATTGAGTTTCAATACATATTGAAGGCTACAATCCCTGACCTGCTGCAGCAAGCACTTCAGGTCATCCTCAGTTTCAGCAAGCAGGGTTCTATAATCTGCATAACGAAGATTGTTGATGAGTCTACCTCCAATCCTGATGCCACATTTCTCCTCATAGAGCCCGAACCTCCCAGATAATCTAATCTGCTTATTATTCCCATAGAACTTTTTTAAAAGTTCCTCTTTCTATTATATACATTACTGAATTTTATTATCTTTAACCACCACTTTGCACATGCCAGTCATCCTCAAAGATTTAAAAGTTACTTTGGACTGCCTCAAGTAAAAAAATATTAAACTGCCTAGAGAGATAATTAAGGATGCTTTAGGCAGAATATTAAATTATCCAGGAAGTATTAAGAGAAGATGGAAAGAGTACACAGAGTCACTGTACCAAAAGGAATTGGCAGACACAGAAGAATTGCATGAAACAACTTATGAGCCTGTGATGATGAAGGAAGAAGTTCAAGCTGCTTTGAAGAAACCAGAAAAAAAAAAAAATAAGGCCCCAGGAATAGATGGTATACCAAATGACGTATTTCTTGTATTTATTATTATTATTATTAATTAATTAATGAACATTTACAGAGCACTTTTCTCCCTGCGCAACTCTCCCCCCGCAATTCACTCTTCTCTTTGAAAAGTAAAAGTTCTTTTATTGTTATACAATCTTATACAATCCCTCCCCCCAAGTTCACTCCACCATGCAGCCTTTATTTTGGACTCCTGTCAGGACAATACCTAACCATATATTGCTTTTATACAGTTCTCTCCCTCATCTGTTTCACTGCCGTATACATTACTTATTCCCTCTTTCTCCATCTCTCCTCAACCCCGATGACAGTCCTGTTTTACAACAGTGTCATTAGGCAATATTTTCCTTTTGTGACTGAGATATTTCACTCAGCATAATGTCCTCCATGGTCACCCATTTTGTATATTTCATGATCTTTGTTTTTCAATACAGCATCATATTCCATTGTGTGAATATACCAGAGCTTATCTATCCATTCATTTGTTGATGGACACCTGGGTTGTTTCCAACTCTTTGCTATTATGAACAAAGCAGCAATAAACATGGGTGTGCATGTATCTGCTTGGGTGGCAGTTACGGTTTCTTTAGGGTATATTCCCAGTAGTGGAACTGCTGGGTCAAATGTTATTTCTATTTACAACTTTTTGAGAAAGTGCCATAATGTCTTCCATAGTGGTTGCACCATTTTACACTACCACCAACAGTGAATAAGGGTTCCAGTTTCTCCACAACCTCGCCAGCATTTGATGTTTGCTGCTCTTTTAAATTTTGCTATTCTCCACTCCCAGCGCCCGGGGGCCTGGGGAAGTGGAAGAAGGCCAGAGCATGAGGAGGAACCTGGGGGTCCACCAAAGATGGGAAACACTACCTCATGCTGTGTGTCATACAACCCCAAGCTCAGGAGAAATGCCCACTCTCGGCTGGAGTCCTACCGGCCAGACACAGATCTGAGCAGCAAGGACACAGGTTGCAACCTGCAGCACATCAGCGACCGGAAGAACATCCATGATTTAAACATGGAATTCAATCCTTCAGACCATCCTCAGGCCAACACAATATTCCTTAGTAAATCTCAGACGGACGTGAGAAAAATGCAAGAGTCTCTTCATTAACCATCCTCCCCTCAGAACCATAGTCTGGGATATATGTGACCATTGCATACAAGAAACAAAATAACAGAAGAAAATTTTCTGAAGAATGAGACACCTTTTTTAAAAAAAAAAACAACCAAACATACAGAAGATGGTGACGGAGGCGGAGACAGCATGGCGAGCTGCGAGAGCAGCGGACCACTTGGAGGAGAGCCACCATGGCCTTCTACAGTCCTCTGTTTATTGATAATTGAAAAAACAGTTGATGACTGGTCCTCGGTATGGACTGAGGCTCAACATAAGAAGATCAAGGATCCCCAGGGAGGAATGGGTGAGTCCTGTGGGTCCCAGCCCCCTGCTGCTGAGCCCAAGCCCACGCCCCCACAGCAACTCCATGGGGCTCTTCATTCCTTGACAGGAAATTTTATAAAACCACCATGTGGCAACTAAAGCACTATAATCCTGGCAAATGCTTCAACATATACTCTCTACAGTGACAGCTTTAAAACTAAGTGTAATTTAACCTAATTTTTAAAAATAAATTCTAATTCCTTATCTTTGACATTCTTCTAGCTATTTTTTTTTAAACTTTCTGTATATTACAGAAAGGGAGAAAATACTGCAGCTAAAATATATTTTTATATTATGCTGCTCTCAATTTCTATCAAACCTGACTAATACAAACCTAAGAAGGGCTGTCAAGCTGACTCTGACTCACAGTGAACACTATCAAACAGGACAGAAGTGCTCTGTTCTGTCTCTAAGGCTAAAATTCTGTACAGAAGCCAAATGACTCATCTTTCTCTTGCTGGGTTCCAACCACCAACCTCCTGATTAGAAGCTACTAAATCACAAAGGCTCCTTCCAATGTAATTCTGACACTTTCTATTCAGTTATTTTTTTAGATTATCAAAAACTGGATATCCTGTTCTAATCCATCCTAGGGTGAAGGATTCTGTACCTTTGCTCTACATATGTACGGGTGAATTGGAACCAACCCACAGGTGAGCCACCAGTAGGTTTTCAAAGGCAGTTTATCAAAAGAGAGGAGACTACCCATCTTTCACCCATGGAGCAGCTAAAGGATTTGAACCAAGTGTCTTCAGGATTGCAGCACACAGCTTCTTAGCACTGGGCCACCCTATGAAGCATCAAAAGAAGATGGAAGGAATATACAGAGTTACTGTACCATAAGGAACTGGCTGGAACAGAAGAATTTCATAAAACGACATATGATCAAGATGCAATGATGAAGAAGGAAGTTCAAGCTGCTCTGAAGGAATCAGCAAAAAAGAAGGCCTAAGGAATTGACAGCATACTAATTGGCGTATTTCAACAAACAGATACAGGCTTGGATGTACTCATTAAGTGCCAAGAAATCTGGAGGAACTACCTGGCCAACTAATTGGAATAGATCCATCTTTATTCCCATTCCAAAAAGGTAACTCAACAAAACGTGGAAATTATTCAACAATATTACTGCAGGCAAGATCCTGCTGAAGATTATCCAAAAATGACTAGACCTATTCATGATAGGGAACTGCAAGATGTACAAACTGAGTTTAAAAGAGGCCGTGGCACTAGGGACATCACAGCCATGTTAGACTAATCTTGGCTGAAAGCTGAGAATACCACAGGAATGTCTATCTGTGTTTCACTGACTATGCAAAGACATTTGACTGTGTGGCTCACAACAAACTGTCAATACCCTTGAAAAGAATGGGAGTCCCAAAACATTAAACTGTGCTTATGTGAAACCTATACTTGGACCAGGAAGCAGTCACCAGAACACGGCATGGTTCATAATCAGAAAAGATGTATATCAGAAATATGTCTTATCTTTATGTAACTTTTTTATCTGTGTGCAGAACATATCATTCGGAAGGCTGAACTTTACGAGGAATGTGGTATCAAGATTGGAGGAAGACTCATCAACAACCTACATTATTCAGATGACATAACCTTGCTTGCTGAAACTGAGGAGGACCTGAAGCACTTCCTACAGAAGGTCTAGGACTGCATCTTCAAAATTTATTGAAGCTTAAAATGATTCTCACCATTGGACCAACTGGCAGCATCACAACAGATGGAGAAAAGATTGAGGTTTGTTAACAATTTCAGCAGCTTGTCTGGTTTCTCAATCAACATTCGTGGCACTAGCACTCAGGAAATCAAGAGATATATTGCACTGGGAAAATCTGCTGTTAAGGACCTCTCCCGAGGCACAATGTCATTCTAAAGACTAAGGTGCACTTGATCCAAGCCATCCTCTGCAGTCACTTGCTCTATGTTAGAGAGCTGGACAGTGACTAAGGATGATAGAAGAATCAAAGCCTTTGAGCTATGGTGCTGGAGAAGTGTACTGAACATACAATGAAAACAAACAGGTCCATCGTGGACAGGGTAAAAACAAAACAAGCTGTTCCTTGGAGGCAAGGATTTTATAGCTCTGTCTCACATACTTTGGGCATGTTGCCAGGAGGGAGCAGTTCTTGGAGAAAGACATCATGCTTGGGTGGGGAGAGTGAAACCAAGCTACTGCTTGGAGGCAAAGATTTTGAAGCTTCAACTTAAGTACTTTGAGCATGTTGCCAGCAGGAAACAGTCTCTGGAGAAGGACATCATGCTTGGTGAGGTGGAGGGCCAGCACGAGAGGAAGATGGATTGACATGAGATAGATGGA